CACTGCTCAACAATTGAAGTGGATATTTTAAAATTTTGTATTTATTTTGTCGATACTTCAAAGAAAAGTAAAAAATCATGTAAAATAAAAACATTTTATTGATTGATTATATCACCCCAGAAAAAAAAAAACAATTTTTAATGCAAAATTTAACATTTAAAAGAAAACTGTTTAAATTGGGAGGAGTAACAACACAAAAAAAATCTTGTATCGCAAAATTCACAAAATCCCTATAAAAAATTAATATCGTGTTGGACCTCCTCTGGCCCGCCTTAGTACTGTCACTCTATTCGGAAGGCTCATTATCAAATTATTGATGAATTGCTGAGGTATGATTTGCCAAATTGCCTGCAACTCATTAGCCAACTGTTCTAGGGTTTGGGGAGGTTGTGGAATCCGGTTTAATCGCCTAGACATTTCGGCCCAAACATGTTCGATACAATTCATATCTGGTGAACAGGGTGGCCACTCCATTCTTGTGATTCCATGATGTTCTATGCGATCGTTCACAATTCTCGCACGATGCGGACGGGCATTATCATCAATTAATACAAATTGTTCACCTATTGCACCAAAAAATGGGACGACTATCGGCTCTATAACCATGTCTCGATATCGTATGGCAGTCATTGTCTCATTAATTAAGATCACTAAATCAGTGCGACCATTATGACATATGCCTCCCCAAACGCAAACTGACCCACCACCAAAAAGAGTTGTCGGGGCCATTAAATGTTCACTGTATCGCTGTCCTCTTTCTCGCCAAACCAATATTCGACCATCACACGTATACAAACGAAATCTAGACTCGTCGGTAAAGAGGCAGTGCCTCCAATTTTCAACAGTCCAAAGACTATGGTCTCTCGCCCAGCGATATCGGCATGCACGCTGCTCCGCCGTCATTCTTGGGTGGGTAGCGCGACGTCTAGCCCTCAAGTTACATGCATGCAATCTTCTTCTGATAGTTTGACCAGAAATCACTCTTCCAGTAGCTTGTCTGAAAAAGCTGTTAATTCTTGAAGCCGTGAATGTTCGGTTTCTTCTTGCAGTCAGGACTATGAAGCGGTCTTGAGCAAGAGTTGTAGCTCGTTCCCGTCCTCCACCATGTGTGTACGCTGCAGACCCAGTTGCTAAATACCGATTCCACGCACGACTCACGACACTTTGAGACACATTCAGCCGCACGGCGACTTCTTCTTGAGACAAACCTTCCTGTATCCAACGCAATAATTGCTCGAGTTGCACTGCTTCTAATCGTCGTAACGGCATTATTCTTTAAGCAAATACGCAAAACTATTGATAACAGTAGCAAAATCAAGTGTGTACAAGCGGTTCTGTAGAACTGATACTTTCAAATTTTAAAACAATATTCCTGCATATTTCCGTGAAAGAGATAAGGGAGAGAGTGCATCGACAAAAAACAATAAACATGCAAAAAATATTCGCCATAAATACTATTTATTGATAAAATAAAACACGTCTTTTTTTTCATATTCTCAAATGTAGATTTCAGGATTTTTGCAATTATCCAGTTCAATTGTTGAGCAGTGTAGATCTATACCCTCGGGCGGCTTACGAACCCCCGGGCCAGAGGCCCTCGGCTTTGTAAGGCTGTCGCCCTCAGGGCATAATCATCTACTTAGTACCCTGCTTGATACATAAATAACTATTATATGTCGAAATATTTTTGATTAATGTCATTACAAAATAAAAAATAAATAATTTTTTAAAAAATGAAGTGAAAACATGCTCATCGTGCATAAAATCTTATATGCACCTCAGCGTTACACATGCTGCGGGCGTTAAAGCTGTACTTTTTGGCCTAGGAACATAAATAACTATTGTAGCTTTTGAAGTTTACAAGTTATAAAGCCTCAAAGTTGAAATTTAGTCGATATTCTGTCCAAAACTTCAAACTCGATTTACTCAAAAACTATAAATGCTAGCGATTTCAGCTGAATACCATCTAAAAGCCCTTATCGAGAACTATGATCCTTGGAAATTTCATCCCAGTACCGCTTTTGGTAACCGAAATATTGCAATTTGAAGATTTAAAAATTAATATCCAAAGGGGATACCCTTAGGAAAAAAAAGAAAATTTAAAATTTCTATTTTTGGAGTTTTTTCAATTTTGACTTTAGAAATCGATAGAGCGAGTTCAAATTAGTCAGAAACCACTCTAACATCAATTGAATTTGAAAATTTCGATGAGAAAAAAAATCCATAAGGAAATCTCATTTTTGGCTCTGGACATTTTTTGAAATCTTGACACGCTCATGATTGATTGCTCAGATCTTCAGTGACATTTGAAGAAATTGCCTATAATTATACATCATTGGAAAGAGAATTAAATTCTCTATGAGCTCGTGCAAAATTGGTTTTTGTGGCTTTTCAAGTTTCCAAGTTATAGAGCCTCAAAGTTGAAATTCAGTGGACATTTTGTCCAAAACTTCAAACTCGATTTTCTCAAGAACCAAAAATGCTAGCGCTTTCATCTAAATACCATCTGAAAGCCCTCATCAGGAACTACAATGCATGAACAATTTATCCTAGTACTGCTTTTGGTAACCGAGATATTGCAATTTGAAGATTTATAAATTAAAATCCAAAGGGGATACCCTTAGGAAATAGAGCAAAAAATTGAAAATTTCTATTTTTGGATTTTTTTCAATTTTGACTTTAGAAATCGATAGAGCGAGTTCAAATTAGTCAGAAACCACTCTAACATCAATTGAATTTGAAAATTTCGATGAGAAAAAAAATCCATAAGGAAATCTCATTTTTGGCTCTGGATATTTTTTGAAATCTTGACACGCTCATAATTGATTGCTCAGATCTTCAGTGACATTTGAAGAAATTGCCTATAATTATACATCATTGGAAAGAGAATTAAATTCTCTATAAGCTCGTGCAAAATTGGTTTTTGTGGCTTTTCAAGTTTCCAAGTTATAGAGCCTCAAAGTTGAAATTCAGTGGACATTTTGTCCAAAACTTCAAACTCGATTTTCTCAAGAACTAAAAATGCTAGCGCTTTCATCTAAATACCATCCGAAAGCCCTCATTAAATACTTGTATATCACGTCATGTAAACTAAAAATAATGAAAAACGCCAACGTGTAAGTGTGTGATAAAAGTAACTAATTATTATGTTCTGATCGATGCAAAAGTTATCATCACACCGAGACCCCCCGAAGTAGCTTCTATTATATTTTCCAATATACTCACATTAATTGCTTATATTTTCGGAATTATTAAGATTTTTTTTTTCCAGCCAGGATGTTTAATATAGCTGCTAATAGATGAACTTGTTACTTGGTTTCCACAATTTAATGGGTTCATCTTCAGGTTCAGGAACCTCCGAATGTTACAAGGCTTATATGTATTTTCAATTTTCTCTGATGATTAAATATTAACATTTTGAACTACTACCAGTCATATACCTGAAAATTAAGTTCAAGTAGCTGGAAATAATGAGCCTTGTTGTAAGCATAAATCACTTAAGCCTCCTAATCGTCTTATAAATAAAATATTTACGTAAATCTCGCAAACAAAGTCCATTTTCTATTTAATTGCCCTGTCATGCTAATGGGAAAATCGTTTTGTGTGTATGTCGGAGGGGTGATTAATTTCTTGCGTGACCCTTAATGGCGACTCCCTTTCTAATAATAATAATATCGAGGTGGGAACAATAACCTCCATTTTATTGCAAAATAATATTACATCTTTTCTAAGAATATACGACAATTTTCTTTGTTTGCATAAAATATCAAAACCTATATAGTGTTTTCGAGTTTTAAGTCAATTTTATTCTGTACAGCAAGAATAAAAATCCCCTCGGGAGTCGTTCGTTACGAAAATCTAACAATTAAACTCGACAAATTTCAGATGTGTTATGCCTTCGAGGGTTGAAGTTTAAGAAATTATTGTCGGTCTTAGTTAGAAACAACTTCGGAGATGCATATTTCAGAGGCGAAGTTTCTGTTGTTCTTTCGGGTCAAAGTTTGAATGTGAATTGTACTTTTGAAAATATTGCTTACATAATAATTAAATATTCCATTTACATTATATTTGTATTAATTATTACAACCCAATATTTATTTTAATTATTGAAACAATATCCCTAATTGCTGGACAAAAAATTTGTGAATAGTCGATTAATGTAATTAGCCAAATAATAATTGCTATTGGTTTTTTATTAAAACAGAATATTTTGTGATAATAGGGGTTTGATTTTCATTATGTCCTTATTCCTGGCTCTTGGAAAGACTTTACGAGCCTGGAATAGACAAAAATTAGATACAAGAGTTAGGAATACATTCCCAAATATCATTAATTATGTAGCTCTTTCTTCAGCTTTCCTCCCTTCCATCTGTCCATTTATCCAAATTGGAACATTTAATTTTATATCACATTAATAAAATCAGATTCAAACTTATTGTTGTTTCTCTTACTTAAATTGTGCCCAAGTCACCATTGGCCTAGCAACGCTAGTAGAGTCGTGAGACTGCGCTCTAACAATTACTTTTGCTTTAGGCTTATTGTAACAGGTGCTCTGTCTGGTTACATTCGGCCCTTCTTTAAACCTGTAGCAAGTGTTTTGTCTGGTTACAGGTTTTAACTAAACCCTTATAGCAAGTGCTTTGTCTGGCTGGGGTCTTCTTTCCAACTTACAACAAGTGCTTTAGTCTGGTTGTAAGTTACTCATCTTACGCCCTAGTGCAAGTGCCGTGACTTTGAGTCCTGTCTGGTAATAAGGCCCTTCTACTCTTCTATCCTAGGATCAAGCAGAAAATACCATCCAGAGAGCCAAAGTCTCCTGGAACGTACATCATATTTCTTCCACATCTAATCTCTAACATGGAAATTAAGTTTCAAAAACTCATTCTAGTTTTCTACAAGAATTTATAAGGATATGAATGTCATTTTATACTATCTGTAATAATAATAACTTTGCGCACTTGTTAGCTAACTATCTAAGTAACTCCTAATCATAAACTTACCCAATTATGAACCAAAAAAAATCCTTAAAAAAATTAAACCAAAAAATCCAAAGTAGTCGTCGGTGGGGCGTAACAATAACCCAATAAACAACCCATCCGAAATAACCTATTGACCGATAATTAAAGTCGGCACGTAAAAGTAAACGACGCGATTACACAGACCGGCAAAAGAGGGTCACGCGAGTACGATTTCCCGCCAACCACTGGACGGAGCCCTGTAAAGCGGCACTTTTCCATACCGGGGTAGGTAAAGCGCGAAATTGCACAAGCGCGCCAAGGCTTACGCCGTCCCAATTTTACTATGTATAGGAGTAGAGTAGGTCGGGAACAATAATACAAAGTTTTGGGTATGTAAAATGTCAATTTGACTGATAGAAATCCTAAGAAGTATTCTATGAAAATGGGAATTGTCCATTGAATTTTGACTATTCCCGGCTCTTGACTAAAGAATCGATCAAATCAAGTCAAATAATCCAGCCAAAAGTTAGGAATTGGGATTTTTTAATGAAAATTTTGATTATTCCTGGCTCTAGATTAGAAACTGCTCAATCAATCAGTCGAATCCAAAGTATATTCGTGGCTTTGGGTTGGGTTGATAGATTTTTGTTGTGAAATCATGAATATACTTCACTTAATAAATTCTGGAAGTTTCAAGTCGCTGGGATGGCTGGAAGTATTTTTCAGGAACCTGCAAAGGTGATTTCACAGGCATTGTATGATTTTTTCAGGTATCAATGGGTAAATATAATCGTAACTTTAGTTGTGAGTTTCATATTAACTTCCAACTGATTGTGTATCATAAGGAAACTTCATTTAACAAATCCTGAAAGTTTCAAGTTGCTGGGATGGCTGAAAGTATTTTTCAGGAAACTTCAAAGGTGATTTTACAGGAATTTAATGATTTTTTCAGGTACCTATCAATGAATAAAAAAACTCGTAACTTCAGTTGTGAGTTTCATATCGATTTCTAGTTTGTTTAGTAACTTAAAAAACTTCAGTTAAGAAATCCTGAAAGTTTCAAGTGGCTGGTATGGCTGAAAGTATTTTTCAGGAACCTTCAAAGGTGATTTTACAAGAATTTTATGATTTTTTCAGGTATTAATGAGTAAAAAAATCGTAACTTTAGTTGTGAGTTTCATATCAATTTCCAATTTGTTTTGTATCATGAAGAAGCTTCATTGACTAAATCCTGAAAGTTTTAAGTTGCTGAAATTACTAAAAGTATTTTTCAGAAACCTCCAAAGGGGATTTTACAGGAATTTTATGATTCTCTTAGGTATCGGTATCAATGAATAAAAAAATTCGTAACTTTAGTTATGAGTTTCATATTGACTTTGGGTTTGTTTTTTATCTTGAAAAAACTTCAGCTAACAATTCCTGAAAGTTACAAGTTGCTGGGATGGCTGAAAGTATTTTTCAGGAACTTTAAAAGGTGATTTTATGATTTTCTTAGGTATCAATAAGTAAAAAAAATCGTAACTTCAGTTGTGAATTTCATATAAACTTCCAACTTATTTTGTATCATGAAGAAACTTCATTCAGCACATCCTAAAAGTTTTAAGTTGCTGGGATGGCTGGAAGTATTTTTCAGGAATCTCCAAAGGTGATTTTACAAGAATTTTATGATTCTTTTAGATATCAATGGATAAAAAAAACTCGTAACTTTAGTTGTAAGTTTCATATCGACTTCCAATTTGTTTTGTATCTTGCAAAAACTTCAGTTAACAAATCCTGAAAGTTTCAAGTAGCTGGAATGGCTGGAAGTATTTTTCAGGAACCTTCAAAGGTGATTTCACAAGAATTTTAGGATTTTCTCAGGTATCAATGAATAAAAAAATTCGTAACTTTAGTTGTGAGTTTCATATCAACTTCCAACTTGTTTTGTATTATGAAAAAACCTTATTCAGCAAATCCTGAAAGTTTCAAGTTGCTGGGATGTATTTTTCAGGAACATTCAAAGGTGATTTTACAATAATTTTAGGATTTTCTCAGGTAACAATGAATAAAACAATTCGTAAGTCTAGTTGTGAGTTTCATATCAACTTCCAATTTGTTTTGTATCATGAAGAAGCTTCATTTACTAAATCCTGGAAGTTTCAACTTGCTGGGATAGCTGAAAGTATTTTTCAGGAACATCCAAATGTGATTTTACACGAGTTTTATGATTCTCTTAGGTATCAATGAATATAAAAACTCGTAACTTCAGTTGTGAATTTCATATAGACTTTCAGTTTATTTTTTATCTTAAAAAAACCTCAGTTAACAAATCCTGAAAGTTTTAAGTTACTGGAATGGCTGGAAGTATTTTTCAGGAAACTTCAAAGGTGATTTCACAAGAATTTTAGGATTTTCTCAGGTATCAATGAGTAAAAAAATTTGTAACTTTAGTTGTGAGTTCCATATGAATTTCCAATTTGTTTTGTATCATGAAAAAACTTCATTTACCAAATCCTGGTAGTTTCAAGTGGCTGGGATGGCTGAAAGTATTTTTCAGGAAACTTCAAATATGATTTTACAAGAATTTTATAATTCTTTTAGATATCAATGAATAAAAAAAACTCATAACTTTAGTTGTGAGTTTTATATCGACTCCCAATTGGTTTCGTATCTTGCAAAAACTTCAGTTAACAAATTCTGAAAGTTACAAGTTGCTGGGATGGCTGGAAGTATTTTTCAGGAACCTTCAAAGAAGATTTTATGATTTTCTCAGGTATCAATGAGTAAAAAAAATCGTAACTTCAGTTGTGAGTTTCTTATTCACTTCCAACTTGTTCTGTATGATGAAGAAACTTCATTCAGCAAATCCTGGAAGTTTCAAGTTGTTGGGATGGCTGAAAGTATTTTTCAGGAACCTTCAAAGGTGATTTCACAAGCACTTTAGGATTTTCTCAGGTATCATTGCGTAAAAAAAATCGTAACTTTAGTTGTGAGTTCCATATCAACTTCCAATTTGTTTTGTATTATCAAGAAACATCATTCACCAAATCCTGAAAGTTTCAAGTTGCTGGGATGGCTGAAAGTATTTTTCAGGAAACTCCAAAGGTGATTTTACAAGAATTTTATGATTCTTTTAGATTTCAATGGATAAAAAAAACTCGTAACTTTAGTTGTGAGTTTCATATCGACTTCCAATTTATTTTGTATCTAGCAAAAACTTCAGTTAACAAATCCTGAAAGTTTCAAGTAGCTGGAATGGCTGGAAGTATTTTTCAGGAACCTTCAAATGTGATTTCACAAGAATTTTAGGATTTTCTCAGGTATCAATGAATAAAAAAATTCGTAACTTTAGTTGTGAGTTTCATATCAACTTCCAACTTGTTTTGTATTATGAAAAAACCTTATTCAGCAAATCCTGAAAGTTTCAAGTTGCTGGGATGTATTTTTCAGGAACATTCAAAGGTGATTTTACAATAATTTTAGGATTTTCTCAGGTAACAATGAATAAAACAATTCGTAATTCTAGTTGTGAGTTTCATATCAACTTCCAATTTGTTTTGTATCATGAAGAAGCTTCATTTACTAAATCCTGGAAGTTTCAACTTGCTGGGATAGCTGAAAGTATTTTTCAGGAACCTCCAAATGTGATTTTACACGAGTTTTATGATTCTCTTAGGTATCAATGAATATAAAAACTCGTAACTTCAGTTGTGAATTTCATATCGACTTTCAGTTTATTTTTTATCTTAAAAAAACCTCAGTTAACAAATCCTGAAAGTTTTAAGTTACTGGAATGGCTGAAATTATTTTTCAGGAACCTTCAAATGTGATTTTACAAGAATTTTAGGATTTTCTCAGGTATCAATGAGTAAAAAAATTTGTAACTTTAGTTGTGAGTTCCATATGAATTTCCAATTTGTTTTGTATCATGAAAAAACTTCATTCACCAAATCCTGGAAGTTTCAAGTTGCTGGGATGGCTGAAAGTATTTTTCAGGAAACTTCAAATATGATTTTACAAGAATTTTATGATTCTTTTAGATATCAATGAATAAAAAAAACTCGTAACTTTAGTTGCGAGTTTTATATCGACTCCCAATTTGTTTTGTATCTTGCAAAAACTTCAGTTAACAAATTCTGAAAGTTACAAGTTGCTGGGATGGCTGGAAGTATTTTTCAGGAACCTTCAAAGGTGATTTTATGATTTTCTCAGGTATCAATGAGTAAAAAAAATCGTAACTTCAGTTGTGAGTTTCTTATTCACTTCCAACTAGTTCTGTATCATGAAGAAACTTCATTCAGCAAATCCTGGAAGTTTCAAGTTGTTGGGATGGCTGAAAGTATTTTTCAGGAACCTTCAAAGGTGATTTCACAAGCACTTTAGGATTTTCTCAGGTATCAATGAGTAAAAAAAATCGTAACTTTAGTTGTGAGTTCCATATCAACTTCCAATTTGTTTTGTATTATCAAGAAACATCATTCACCAAATCCTGAAAGTTTCAAGTTGCTGGGATGGCTGAAAGTATTTTTCAGGAAACTCCAAAGGTGATTTTACAAGAATTTTATGATTCTTTTAGATTTCAATGGATAAAAAAAACTCGTAACTTTAGTTGTGAGTTTCATATCGACTTCCAATTTATTTTGTATCTAGCAAAAACTTCAGTTAACAAATCCTGAAAGTTTCAAGTTGCTGGGATGGCTGGAAGTATTTATTAGGAACCTTCAAAGGTGATTATATGATTTTCTCAGGTATCTTTAAGTAAAAAAATTCGTAACTTTAGTTGTGAATTTCATATCAACTTCCAACTTGTTTTGTATTATAGAGAAACTTCATTTAACAAATCCTGAAAGTTTCAAGTTGCTGGAATGGCTGAAATTATTTTTCAGGAACCTTCAAATGTGATTTTACAAGAATTTTAGGATTTTCTCAGGTATCAATGAGTAAAAAAATTCGTAACTAGTTGCGAGTTTCATATCAACTTCCAATTTGTTTTGTATCGTGAAGAAACTTCATTCACCAAATCCTGAAACTTTCAAGTTGCTGGTATGGCTGGAAATATTTTTCAGGAACCGTTAATGGTGATTTTATAGGAATCTTATTATTTTTTTAGGTATCAAAGAGTAAAAAAATACGTATCTCTTTAGACTTTCTCACAGAAAAGTTGAAAAATATTCAGGGAAAACTGAAGAATTAAAATATTCTCTGAGTTCGTCAAGATGGGCTGCTCTTGTAGACAATTTTTCTGCTCCTGGGAAGTC